CCGTTCTGGCAAAAGTCATTAACTCCATTTTTGTCTAAAAGTAGTTAACTACCTTCGCGATCATAGAACAATTATATCTGTGGTTTAGAAAAACTTATTAAGTGCAGTATTGTATTTTTAGCATGCTAAAAATACAATACTGCACTTAATAAGTTTTTTAGACCACAGATATAATTGTTCTATGATCGCGAAGGTAGTTAACTACTTTTAGATAAAAATGGAGTTAATGACTTTTGCCAGAACGGGGACGATTAGTAATAAATTTTAAAGAATCATTATTTAGATCACAATAATTGATTTATTTATATCAACTGATTTAGCGTAGGTACCTATCAGTGGTTTTTGCACGACATGGCAACGCAGTAATTTTCTTTAAAAACTGTTGTTTTATAAAATAAATTGGTTAATTATCTTTCAACGTTTATATTTTTCCTAAAAAAGTCGATTTTTATACATTGACATTTTAAATTAGACATAAAACATTTAAAATGTCATAAAGATTTATTTGACATTTGTGACATTTGCTTTTAACCATAGAAAATAATTTCGCCAATATAAGTCATGGTTTACTAGATTTGTTTTTTGGCCAATAAAATCATCTAAAATGTATATCGGTTGATATATTTTATATCAGTCGTTAACGACTGATTTAAAATATGTATAAAAATAGACAGTATTTTTGTTTGTAAATATATATGAAAAAATTAATTCAGAAGACAAACATACCTATAACAAAGATATAATTATAAAATAACATTTTTTTTGAGATAAAATTACTACCATGTTAATTATATCAAATATCTTTGTTGTTTTTTGTCTCATTGAAAAGCTGAATGCTTGAGATCAATTGATTTATAACTTTCTTTGGTTTCATTGTAAAATAATTACCCCTAACATTAACCTTGGGTGAAAATATTTATTGATTCATTTTTTTTTATTATTAAAAACATACATACCTTCCAAAATGTTTACTTTTTAATATAATACCTATGTTCAACTTATTTTTTCATTTAAATTTTTAAATTATGCTTGCTCTTCAAATAGAAACAGTAGGTTTTGGGTAAGGGGCTTGACAAGGTAGAGTGGACTTTTTTTCTGAAGAAATTTACACTCTATTTATTTTTGGGCTCAGAAATATAAGTAGGTACTATTAAACATAAAATAAAATGAAATGGAGGGACAAAAGGGCAACAACATGGGTATTTCAAATTGAATATACATATTATAATATTATAAACATTTTTTTGCCAGTAATACGAGTTTAAAAGGCATTTTATAAGAAAATAAAAAATACACCCTTTATCATTTGTAATATTTATTTGACAAATAATTAAAAAAATGCTCTGAAACAATATTTTTATTTTTAAAATAAAGTACACAGGGTAAAAAAATCTGGACTGGGTAGAACGGCAACAGTTAAATTTTAAAAATTGCTTTATTAAAATAACAGTTTTTAAAATTTGTGTACCTACATATATTGTTCAATATGTCTTTTTTCCCTCTCAATGTCTTTGGCATATTTTTAAACATTTGCCTAAATGCCTAAAAGGGTGTTATTGGTACTATGCTCCACACCTCAAAGTCCCACCACGTGACCACGTACGGAACGCAGTCTTTTTCAGGTTATGTATCTTTCAAAGAATAGTTAATGAAAGAAATAACATTTATAGTGTTACCGCTTATGTTTAAGCGTTAAAAGTTAATAAATCTTTATAGTATCACAGTAACAATGGTTGGTTTAAGAATTTAGGAATATAAATACTGCATTTAATTAAATTCCAAAGTGTAAGGTGCAATTTAAGAGATATTTTTGTGCATTGGGTCTACATTTCTCCATAAAATAGTTTTAACTAAACAGCATTTATTAAAAAAAATCTAACTTCTCTGTTATGAAATAAGAATATCTGTATCAAAGGTAGGTTAATGTATTAGAACAAAAAATATCATCTAATTTTGTATTTTAAGGTTAGAAAAATCTATTTTGACCAAAATAAATAAGTGGATTATTTGGAAGAGTGTGTTAATATGGTCATAAATAAATATAGGTATACTAAATAATTGTTGAATATGGTTCAATTAAATTGAAGCTTTTATACTTCTAATGACAAAACTTGTGCATACCTCTCGGCATACCTACTTTAAGTTAGATTATAAGAAAACAAACAATTTTTAGAGAAACTTGCAATGTGAAAATATTTAATACACCCATGACATGTGATTTATTAAAATTTTTAAAGTTATAATGATTTTTCGATGTAGATCAAGTTCAGTCGAAGCTTTTGAACTATTTATATTGACAAAACTTTATGTAGGTACACTTTAAGCTGGATAAGAAAAACTACCACATTTTTAAATACCATATTATACAGTCTTTTAAATAATCCAAAATACTTATTTATTTTGGTCAAAATAAATTTTTCTAACCTTAAAATTACAAAATTTGATGATAGTTTTGTTATAATATATTAACCTACCTTTAAAACAGATATTCTTATTCCATAATAGAGAAGCTAGATTTTTTTAAATAAATGCTGTTTAGTTAAAATTATTTTATGGATAAATCCAGATATTTGGACCAAATGCACAAAAATATTACTTATTTGGCACCATACACTTTTATTTATTGTTATTGTAATGTTATAAATATTTAAACATTTGTTATTTTCAGAGACTTTAAGCCGTAATTTTCGTTTTTCATATACCTTTGCAAATTTACTTTTACCAGAACACATTGCAAACTGCGAACATAACCTAATTATGTGTTTTATATTGCCGCAATCCTCTTCAAAACCAAGTTTTTTGTCAATAATAATGTATTTATGTGTATATTTATTAATATATTTTAAAAATGTATCACTTTTATAATGTAATAAAGACTTTTTTAAGTATATGTAAGATAACCTACAAATCTTTACTGTCAATTAAAATTTGCCATGTTGCTAAATTGGTTCAAACTTAAATTAGTTGATATAAATAATTCAACGTTTCTGCATACGGCCCTAAATATACAAACTACTTCTAGTTCTTACTAGGTCTTGGAACTAAAAGATTAAATTATGACAGCAAGTTAGGGCAATCAATCTTATTTTGAAATAAGTTGAACAAAAACTTAAGGGATAAAATATATCGGAGTTGCTTTAATGAGGGTACATTAAAGATTAGCAATAATGTTCTAACCCCTTACAACAGTGGGAAATAAAAGGTTACAAAACCATATGAAAAGCAAACATAAAAAGAAAACTAGTAAGAATATTAGAGTTACAATTCTTTAAAAAACTGACCAAATATATTTTTTTTAATTTATCGTTTTTAAATAAAAATATATTTTAAAAATTAAAAAAGTTCACTTGAAAATAATATACGGTATTAAATGCAATATGATGCAATCATTGACTTAAATGTGGCTGCAAATTTTAAAAAGCTTTATTTGTATTTTATAATTTGTGTAGATCTACAAATAAATTAATAAATTGTTTTCGTTATATTATTTAAGGGTTAGTTAAATCGTTTTCTTTTAATTTTTATTCAAAAACAGAGTTAATGTTTATTAGACTAATAAAGTTTTATTCTGTGTAGTTTAGTATTATTTGTATTGACAAATTTGGATAAAACTAGTTAAGTTTATATTAGTATACAAACAAAATAAACGCAAAAAATTATAACTTTTTTTTGTTACAGTGAATCGACATGCGGATACAGCGACTGCTTTTTTACTGGACCAGAATACGAAGTAACCCAGCATATGATCAAAGACCATGGACATACATCAGTGAAGAACGAAGTTATCAAAGATAAAAAACAAAAACCAACTAAAAAAGACACAACAAAAATAACAAGATTTTCTTGTATGTACTGTGACTATACAACAACTACCAAACGATTGTTAAAACGGCATATTTGTCTTAACCACAAAGAACAAAATGAGTTGGAAAAAAAAGTAGTAATAAACATAAAAACTCACTTCTGTGTATACTGTGACTATAAAACAGTACACAAACAATGCCTTCAAAAACACATTTATTCCAAACATAAAGAACAAAATGATTTAGAAAATAAAGTGGCACTAAACATAAAAACTTACTCCTGTGTATACTGTGACTATAAAACAGCAGATAAACGATGGCATCAAAAACACATTTACATCAAACATAAAGAACAAAATGATTTAGAAAATAAAGTAGCACTAAACATAAAAACGTATTCCTGTGTATACTGTGACTTTACAACTTTAAACAAACGATGGCTTCAAAAACACATTTACATCAAACATAAAGAACAAAATAAGTTGGAAAATAAAGTAAAATTAAACATAAAAAAAATTTCTTGCGATTTCTGTGACTTTAGAACAGTGGAAGATCTAAGGCTTCAAAAACACATCTACAGCAAACATAAAGAACAAAATGAGTTGGAAAATAAAGTAGCACTAAATATTAAAACGTATTCCTGTGTATACTGTGACTTTACAACTTTAAACAAACGATGGCTTCAAAAACACATTTACATCAAACATAAAGAACAAAATAAGTTGGAAAATAAAGTAAAATTGAACATAAAAAAATTTTCTTGCGATTTCTGTGACTTTACAACAGTGGAAAATAAAACTCTTCAAAAACACGTATACAGCAAACATAAAGAACAAAATAAGTTGGAAAATAAAGTAGCACTAAACATTAAAACTTACTCCTGTGTATACTGCGACTATTCAACGATAAACAAAGAACACCTTCAAAAACACATCTACATCAAACATAAAGAACAAAATGATTTAGAAAATAAAGTAGCACTAAACATTAAAACCTACTCCTGTGTATACTGCTACTTTACAACAGTAGAAAACCAAAAGCTTGAAAACCACATTTACAGTAAACATAAAGAACAAAATAAGTTGGAAAATAAAGTAAAATTAAACATCAAAACAAAATCTTGTGTATACTGTGACTTTACAACAGTTTACAAAGATTCGTTGCAAAGACACATTCTTAGGAAACATAAAGAACAAAATGAATTGGAAAAGAAAGTGGAAATAAACATACAAACTTACTCTTGTGTTTTTTGTGATTTTGAAACATTTGAAAATCAAAAGCTGCAAAAGCACATCTATAGCAAACATAAGGAACAACAAAAAATAAAGTAGCCATGCATTTTTTACTTTTAATAATAAATTCTTAAATCTGAAAACTAAAAATAACGTTGTATGATTTTATTTCGTGGTTTTTAAGGCTTATTCTATTTTTAAAAGTATGGTAATTTTTTTCCAAGTGTGTTTTACTAAAATAATCTTTTTAGACGAACATGTAATTATTGAAAAATTGTTAAATTTTCTGTAAATACATATATTTTCTTAACGTGTTGTGTTTTATTGTAAAACATTAAAAAAAACTGGTGCACAGCCATTTTGCTTCATACTACCCAAATTACCCTAGAAAAGTTGTTGTATGGGTGGTTTTCAGTATCTCTTAAGAATCTGATTCAGTTTTATAAAAAATTGTTCGGATTTTGTAGCAAGACAAATTTTATTTCTTAAAAAGTTGCTAAGCTTTTTAATTAAGAGATACAGTTTTTAATTGTTTCGACTTTTACTTGATGAAACTCCATGTTAATATTGTTTTATTTTAATATAAACTACACTGTTTAAAAGTTTCACTATTTTATTTAAATATGACAATTGTTTCGCTACACAGTAGTTTATATTAAAATAAAACAATAGATACAGTTTTCTTGTTAAAATCCCATTTTTTGCGCTAATAAAGAAATATCCAAATAAATATTTTTGGTTCTTGTACCAAGAAATCGCTGGCTCTTGATTTAAGCTGTTATTATAATATCTCTCCCATTAAGTAATTTAAATTTATTGGATAAGATAAAGAATAGTATTACTCTCGAGATTATGCGTATTATTTAATAGCCTGCATTATGTCTCGTATAATATTATACTATTTCTGTATTGTTTGTTATTTTTGTTGACAAATATCATTTTTATACATTAAAAATAAAATGCAAAAAATTCATAATTTTTTTGTTGCAGTGAATCGACATGCGGATACAGCGACTGCTTTTTTACCGGACCAGATTACGAAGTAACTCAGCATATGCTCAAAGTCCATGAGCATACATCAGTGAAGAACGAAGTTATTGAAGATAAAAAAGAAAAACCAAATAAAGAAGATAAAACAAGAATAACAAGATTTCCTTGCATGTACTGTGACTATACAACAATTTACAAACAATTGTTAGAACGTCACATTTGTTTCAAGCACAAAGAACAATATGACATGAAAACTCACTTCTGTGAATACTGTGACTATAGAACAGTAGACAAACGATGGCTTCAAAAACACATTTATATCAAACATAAAGAACAAAACGAGTTGGAAAATAAAGTAGAACTAAACATAAAAAGTTACTCCTGTGCATACTGTAACTTTACAACGATAAACAAACAATTCCTTCAAAAACACATTTACCTTAAACATAAAAAACAAAACGAGTTAGAAAATAAAGTAGCGCTAAATTTAAAAACTTACTCTTGTGTGTACTGTAACTTCTCAACAGTACAAAATGATAAACTCCAAAATCACATGTACCAAAAACATAAAGCACAAATTCAAGTAGCAATAAAAACTTACTCTTGTGTGTACTGTGAATTCTCCACAACTGTGAACCAAACATTACAAAGGCACATTTATAGGAAACATAAAGAACAAAATGAATTGGAAAATAAAGTACAAATAAACATAACCACTTACTCTTGTGAGTTATGTAACTTCTCAACAGTAGAAAATAAAATTTTGCAAAATCACATATACCAAAAACATAAACCACAAATTCAAGTAGCAATAAAAACTTACTCTTGTGTGTACTGCGAATACTCCACACCCTATAACCAAACATTACAAAAGCACATCTATAATAAACATAAAGAACAAAATGAATTGGAACAGAAAGTGGAAATAAACATAAAAACTTACTCCTGTGTTTACTGTGACTTAACAACGATAGACAAATGGTGGCTTAAAAAACACATCTACAATAAACATAAAGAACAAAACAAATTGGAACATAAAGTGGAAATAAACATAAAAACTTAGTCTTGTGAGTTCTGTAACTTCTCAACAGTACAAAATGTAAATCTGCAAAATCACATATACCGAAAACATAAAGAACAAATTCAGTAGCAATAAAAACTTACTCTTGTGTTTTTTGTGACTTTGAAACATGCGAAAATAAAAAGCTGCAAAAGCACACAAGAAACAACATAATAAAAAAGTAAAGTAGCGATACATTTTTTACTTTTAATAATGATTTTTTAAATCTGAAACTAAAACATTATCCTTTCTGCAATAACATAAGTACAATCTAAATTAATTTGTTATAGAAAGTTTAACGGCTGTTTTTCGATAACAGCATCATAAACACAACTAGAGACTGCACACAAGTAAAAACCAAGGTTATGTCACATTGTTACCAGAGAATACTCCACACCTTTAAACCAAACATTACAAAGGCACATCCATAGGAAACATAAAGAACAGAATGAATTGGAACATAAAGTGGAAATAAAAAAAAAAATTTACTCTTGTCCTTTTTGTGACTTTGACACATTTGTGAATCCAATGCTGCAAAAGCATCTCTATAGAAAACATAAGGGACAAACTAATAAAAAATAAAGTAGCGATACATTTTTTACTTTTAATAATAAATTCTTAAATCTGAAAACTGAAAATAATTTAGCCATAAAAATAAAAAACGATCATAGTGACGTGGGATTAAAATGATAAGAAATATATTCACGCCACTACTTTTTTATGAGTTTGATATTGTATTTAAGTAAGCAATTCAAAATATAACTTTTTAGTCCCTTGCATTTTTTATTTATCTTGATTAATTTTCAAGCCAAAAAAAATTTGTTTATCAGTTCGTAGGTAATCATAATTTTTCCAGAAGCTAGCGAATAAAAGAATTTTATTTTTACTTAAAACTTAAACATAACAAAGAAAAAATGCAGAAGAATAAATAGTTGTATTTTAATTGATTAATCTAAAAATAACATTAAACTAACTAAAAAGCAGTAGCGTACCCAAATTATATTTTTAAATATCTAGTTAGGATGCCCCAGCGCCGCCTATGGATTAACTAAATCAAATTTAATTACATTTAATTATGCCCTTTCGTTCATTACTAAAAAACTAAAAGTTTTAATAAATTCGGCCAGGAAGTTTTTAAATTTTTGAAAAAATAAATATATTTTGATAAATTTACCATTTTGCGAATTCTATCGACTATAAAATTTTCCCGATAAAAATCCAAGACATAATAATTGTTGCGTCTGTTAGTAATCTTGTAACTTCTGAGCGACTTGACCGATTGAGGCAACGTTCCCACAATAAATTTGTTTTGTCGAGGCGATAGTTCATAGCTTTGCAGGATTTGATAGGTGGCGCTGTAGTCAAGTTATTAATACATTATAGCCCTAACAACTAGTTTATTTATTTTATATGTTCTGTGGGTACACAAATTCAGATTTTTTTAAATGCTCTTTTTTCGAATATAATTTGCGTTTTTAGGAAGAAATAATGTTTTTTCTGTTTCATTTGTTTTTTTTAAGAAAAGGAGTTTTAACATTTTGTTTGATAATTTTATTACGTGGTTTTTAAAATTTTTAAATGTATGTTAATTTCTACCCAAGTACGATATACTAAAATGTTTTTTTTAAGATGAACATGTAATTATTGAAAAATTGTTAAATCGTTATAAATACAGATTTTTTCTTAACGTGTTGTGTTTTTATTGTAAAACATTAAAAAAATGGTCCACAGCCATTTTGCTGCAGACTACAAAAATTTCCCTAGAATAGTATATTACACTTTCTGCCCGTGTAGTGTATACTATTTTTCTTACTACCTCGGCCGAAAATACAACCCGGCCGAAAATACGGGAAAAAATTAAATGTGTATTTATGTACCTATCTCCATTTGAAGAGCTTGATAAATAAATAACAGTAGGCCGTGAATTCAGCGGTGCCAATACAGTAAAAATAAAACGTATTTTAATTAACAAATTACTACTTTATAACAAATAAAAGTACCATTAAACACTTAAAACAACATAAAAAGTAAAAAAGTAAAAACATAAAAACATAAATTGTTTATTTGTTGTTATAACAATTATATATAATTGCAAAATTATGGTTTAAAACTGTCATATTTTTGTGTTTCTCGTGTTGGCAGTACGAAATTTGAATGTTAAGCACACGACTAAAAAATTTTTACTCCCGCTATTAGAGTGTGCGCGTATAGCTTGACCAATGCATAAAACGTAAACTTTCTGCCGTGGAATCGGGGACGAAACAACGTATTTTGAGTCGAGGTAGTAAGAAATAGTATATTGTGTCTCAAGGGCAGAAAACTAGCTTTAGCAGCTCGCGGCTATTAACTGCCTGAGCGAGCGAAGCGAAGCGAGGGCAGTTGATAGCTAAGGGCTGCTAATGCGTTTTCTGAATGTGTGACACACACCTGTTTTTCGCCTAGCATCAAACAAATTATTTTTTTAAATTTCATAAATATAAACGGAATTTTATATAAAACTTCAGTAACAATTTACGAATTTATTTATTGTTGTAATTAATGTTAATTATGCCTTGAGCACAATTGTGGATAGTACCAGAATTTGAAGGCTTATTTCTACAGATGAAGTTGATGTTTCATTAGAATTATCTTTGATCTTTCCGATAGATAAGCAACTAATACATTTTCTGTTAAGTTTTTGGCTTTTTGAACCTTTTTCCAGTTTTTAAATAATTCATAGCACTTTTCGTATCGTTTTAACGCATTGTCTTAACTTTGTAGGTAAAAAATTTATAGAAACATTGCTAGCTTCCTCTTTTTCAAATCTGTTCAAGTATTCGTAAATTTTTCGTCACTGTCCGAGTTACCATTCATTTTCACTTTATTACAAAATTTAAATCAGGTTTTATTGTTATTTTATACTTTTTTTGTCCGTTTTTATTGTGATTTACACAAACGTCTGAAAATCTTAAATGTCAAATGCCAAAATACATAAATGTCAGTCAAAGGTGTCTAGATTGTGAAAAAATCAAGTTTAGCGGCCCTAGGGACGATAAATATTATTTTCCGTCATATTTTTAGGTTTGATATGATTCATTTTTATATGTGCTGGGCGAAAAAAGTTATTGTATACCCTGCCGGAAAGAGATTTTTTGTCGGCCAGGGTTGGGTAAAGTCGCCCATATTAAACAGGCTGCAAAATTGAACTATACCTATTTTCCTAGTGTGCCCCTTATATAATTGCAACTGTGACAAAAACAAGATTAATTCACCCCTTAAACAAAGACAGGGAATAATTGTGGTGACAACATGCTTGATAAAAAAAATTCAGGTGATCACAAGTAATAGTTTGTGATTCTACCTTTGTGTATCCGACTACCATTCCCGAAGAAAGGATGGAAAAAAATAAATCCTTTAAAATAAAGAAGGGCTTAGCGTATTTCCTGTTGTATATTTAAATTACTGTGATGGTTTAATAATTCTTAAGTTATGTTGCCCAAATTTAACCATTGATAAACTAAGGTTCAATGAGGGAAACTATTTTCTTTAGCAATATACCTAATGATTATTTCTTTTAAAATGCAATTGAAGGAACTTGTTTCCGAAATTAAAAAAATTACATTTTACTTTTAACTAAAATATTTTTTTTAGGTGGTGATTATAATATTGTTCAGAATAATATATGTTTTTTTTAAATATATTTAATAAAATCTTCTGTTCAGATAAGCCAATAACAGAACTAATGTTTCTGAAAAATACTCAAAATAAAACTACACACTATGTCTCAATAATTTATTGTGGTACATCTATGTAAATAGGTCTCCGAATGATGGTTTGGTTGGGTTAGTTAGCCTTGGTTATCATGCATATAACTGAAAATTTCTAGTAATTATACCTATTTATATATTAATAGGCATAGACTAGTAATTTTTGATGATTGAATTTTTTTCTAGGTCCCTGGATGATGGCGATTTAATTTGGTTTGAAGTTATTTTTGCTTTAAGGACATTTTGCTTTGAGAAATTTGTGCTGAGAAACTTTTTTTGAGAACATGAGACTTGGAGCCTGAACCCTTTAAAACCTAAATTTTCAGATACACAAAAAGAACAAAATTACTTAAAAAATAAAGTAGTTGGCTCAAACCTAAAAACTTATTGACAGTGAAAAATTAACTCGTAATGTGAAAAGACGCTAATTTCATGAAATGCATTAGTAATAAACAATATATTATGACATATGGTAATAAATGGTAACTGTTGAGGAAATATAAATAACTTCGCGTTTATATTGATAAAATATATTTACGCATATTATTATATTATTATAATATTATATTATTATTATAAGGTTAAATCTCAATTTATAATTTTATTTCATTAAGTAATATTTTATAATTTTTGATTTACATTTATATATTTTTAAAATATTGTTTCATATTCACATATTTTTTTATTTATAATTATGGCTCAAACGGCGCCTCATAATAGACAACAAAATGAGTTAAACAATAAAGTAGAAAAATACATTAAAACTTACTCTTGTGAGTAATGTTACTTCCCCTTCACCCCAAAAAGCTGCAAAACCAAATGTACAGAAAATCATTAGCTCAATAATAAAGTTTTTTTATAAAGTTTAGTATTATTTTTTAAAAATGTAGATAATGTTAGTTCATATTTGAAAAAAATTCAAAAATTAAAACTTCTTTTTAGTTACATGCACATACAGCGACTGCTTTTTAATAAAATGTTTTCGTTTTATTGGAAAGCGTTAGTTAATGAAAATAATTTATAAAGTGCTACAGAAAACCGTGTTATAGAAAAAATGTTTTACTTTAATTTTTATTGTAAAATATAGTTAATGTTTATTAGCCAAAAAGTTATTAATCTAGACTAAAGTTTTTCTCTGTATACATAGTTTAGTATTATTTTTATTGACAAATGTGGATAGTTTTAGTTAAGTTCATATAAAAATACTAACAATACTAACTTTTTTGTTTCAGTGAACCGACATGCGGATACAGCGACTGCTCTTTTATGGGACCAGAATACGAAGTAACCCAGCATATGATCAAAGACCATGGGCACACATCAGTGAATATCAAAGATGAAAAACAAATACCAACTAAAAAGGATAAAACAAAAATAAAAAGATTTTCTTGTATGTACTGTGACTATGCAACAATTTACAAACATTCGTTACGAAGGCATATTTATTATAAGCACAAAGAACAATATGATAATATTAAAACATACTTCTGTGTATACTGTGACTTTAAAACAGTGGAGAACCAATGCCTCCAAAAACACATTTATTCTAAACATAAAGAACAAAATGATTTAGAAAATAAAGTAGCACTAAACATAAAAACTTACCCCTGTGTGTACTGTGACTTTACAACGTTAGATAAATGGTGGCTTAAAAAACACATTTACATAAAACATAAAGAACAAAATGATTTAGAAAATAAAGTAGCACTAAACATAAAAACGTACTCCTGTGTATACTGTGACTTTACAACTTTAAACAAACGATGGCTTCAAAAACACATTTACATCAAACATAAAGAACAAAATAAGTTGGAAAATAAAGTAAAATTAAACATAAAAAAATTTTCTTGCGATTTCTGTGACTTTATAACATTGAAAGATCACTTGCTTCAAAAACACATCTACAGAAAACATAAAGAACAAAATGAGTTGGAAAATAAAGTAGCACTAAACATTAAAACTTACTCCTGTGTATACTGCGACTATTCAACGATAAACAAAGAACAACTTCAAAAACACATTTACATCAAACATGAAGAACAAAATAAGTTGGAAAATAAAGTAATATTAAACATAAAAAAAATTTATTGCGATTTCTGTGACTTTACAACAGTTGAAAATAAAACTCTTCAAAAACACGTATACAGCAAACATAAAGAACAAAATAATTTGGAAAATAAAGTAGTACTAAGCATTAAAACCTACTCCTGTGTATACTGCGACTTTACAACAGTAGATAACCAAAAGCTTCAAAACCACATTTACAGTAAACATAAAGAACAAAATAAGTTGGAAAATAAAGTAAAATTAAACATTAAAACAAAATTTTGTGTATACTGTGACTTTACAACAGTTTACAAAGCTTCGTTGCTAAAACACATTCTTAGGAAACATAAAGAACAAAATGAATTGGAAAAGAAAGTGGAAATAAACATAAAAACTTACTCTTGTGTTTTTTGTGATTTTGAAACATTTGAAAATCAAAATCTGCAAAAGCACATCTATAGCAAACATAAGGAACAACATAATAAAAAATAAAGTAGCTAGGCATTTTTACTTTTAATAATAAATTCTTAAATCTGAAAACTAAAATTAACGTCGTAAAAAATTAACGTAAAGTAAAATATTCTTTGTCCACTGGTGGATATTTATATTACATACATAAATATAAATGAATAATAAATTTTTTTTTTTTTTTAATAAAAATAGTTTTACAATTTTGTTGTATGATTTTATTTCGTGTTTTTTTAAGCCTTCTTATATTTTTAAATGTATGGTAATTTTTTACCAAGTATGTTATAATAAAATAATCTTTTTAAGATGAACATGTAATTATTGAAAAATTGTTAAATTTCCTATAAATACATATTTTTTCTTAACGGGTTGGGTTTTTATTGTAGAACATTAAAAAAATTGTATGGGTGGTTTTTAGTATCTTTTAAGATTCTGATTTAATTTTGAAAAAAAAATTGTTCTGATTTGTAGCAAGACAAATTTTCTTTCTTAGAAAGTTGCTAAGCTTTTTAATTAAGAGATACAGTTTTCTTGTTAAAATCCCATTTTTTTTGCGCTAAAAAACGTTTTCTTCATTTAAAATATCTTCAAAAATAAATATTTTTGGTTCTTGTACCAAGAAATCGCTTGCTCTTGATATTTAAGCTAATATTGTAATATCCTTAAACGAAAAGATTAATCTCTCCCCTCAAGTAATTTAAAAAAAAAAAATGTTAAGATAGTTTCTGATTTAGATTAAGAAACATAACTCTTGGCCCTATTCAAAAGGGCAAATCTTTTGAATCAAAGTGATTTTAATTTCTTTTAAGAGATTATTTTTTCAGTGTTTAATTATAATTAGTATTATAAATAATTTTATATAATTACATACAATTCCATATAATTGTATATATAATTATATAGGTCCTTACAAGAGACTATAGAAATTTATGTAATTATATATAATTTATGTAATTATATATAATTTTTATATAAATATATAGAATTATATATAACTATATAATTGTTTGCAAATATATGAAATATTTTTTCATCGGGATGTCAGATTTTATTTTTTTATTTTTAAAAATCCTTTAATTATCTACTTATTGGAGTAGATAATGTATAGTATTACACTCGAGATTATGCGTATTATTCAATAGCATGCATCTCTATACTATTTCTGTATTGTTTGTTATTTTTGTTGACAAATATTTCATATTTTTATACATTAAAAATAAAATGCAAAAAATTTAAGCTTTTTTTGTTGCAGTGAATCGACATGCAGATACAGCGACTGCTTTTTTACCGGACCAGAATACGAAGTAACCCAGCATATGAGCAAAGACCATGGGCATACATCAGTAAAGAACGAAGTTATTAAAGATAAAAAAGAAAAACCAAATAAAGAAGATAAAACAAAAATAACAAGATTTCCTTGCATGTACTGTGACTATACAACAACTAACAAACAATTGTTAAAACGGCATATTTGTCTTAACCACAAAGAACAAAATGAGTTAGAAAAAAAAGTAGTAATAAACATAAAAACTTACTTCTGTGTATACTGTGACTATAAAACAGTGGACAACCAATGCCTTCAAAAACACATTTATTCTAAACATAAAGAACAAAATAATTTAGAAAATAAAGTAGCACTAAACATAAAAACTTGTGTGTACTGTGACTTTACAACGTTAGACAAATGGAGGTTTAAAAAACACATTTACATCAAACATAAAGAACAAAATGATTTAGAAAATAAAGTAGCACTAAACATAAAAACTTACCCCTGTGTGTACTGTGACTTTACAACGTTAGACAAATGGTGGCTTAAAAAACACATTTACATCAAACATAAAGAACAAAATAAGTTGGAAAATAAAGTAAAATTAAACATAAAAAAATTTTCTTGCGATTTCTGTGACTTTATAACAGTGAAAGATCACTTGCTTCAAAAACACATCTACAGAAAACATAAAGAACAAAATGAGTTGGAAAATAAAGTAGCACTAAACATTAAAACTTACTCCTGTGTATACTGCGACTATTCAACGATAAACAAAGAACAGCTTCAAAAACACATTTACGTCAAACATGAAGAACAAAATAAGTTGGAAAATAAAGTAGTAATAAGCATTAAAACCTACTCCTGTGTATACTGCGACTTTACAACAGTAGATAACCAAAAGCTTCAAAACCACATTTACAGTAAACATAAAGAACAAAATAAGTTGGAAAATAAAGTAAAATTAAACATTAAAACAAAATCTTGTGTATACTGTGACTTTACAACAGTTTACAAAAATTCGTTGCTAAAACACATTCTTAGGAAACATAAAGAACAAAATGAATTGGAAAAGAAAGTGGAAATAAACATAAAAACTTACTCTTGTGTTTTTTGTGATTTTGAAACATTTGAAAATCAAAATCTGCAAAAGCACATCTATAGCAAACATAAGGAACAACATAATAAAAAATAAAGTAGCCATGCATTTTTTACTTTTAATAATAAATTCTTAAATCTGAAAACTAAAATTAACGTCGTAAAAAATTAACGTAAAGTAAAATAATCTTTGTCTGGTGGATATTTATATTACATAAATATAAATGAATAATAAATTTTATTGTTTTTTTTTAATAAAAATAGTTTTACAATTTTGTTGTATGATTTTATTTCGTGTTTTTTTTAAGCCTTATTATATTTTTAAATGTATGGTAATTTTTTACCAAGTACGTTATACTAAAATAATCTTTTTAAGACGAACATGTAATTATTGAAAAATTGTTAAATTTGCTATAAATACATATTTTTTCTTAACGGGTTGGGTTTTTATAGTAGAACATTAAAAAAAACTGGTTCACTGCCATTTTGCTGCATACTACCCAAATTACCCTAGAAAAGTTGTTGTATGGGTGGTTTTCAGTATCTTTTAAGATTCTGATTTAATTTTGAAAAAAAAATTGTTCGGATTTGTAGCAAGACAAATTTTCTTTCTTAGAAAGTTGCTAAGCTTTTTAATTAAGAGATACAATTTTCTTGTTAAAATCCCATTTTTTTGCGCTAAAAAACGTTTTCTTCATTCAAAATATTCAAATAAATATTTTTGGTTCTTGTACCAAGAAATCGCTTGCTCGTGATTTAAGCTAATATTGTAATATCCTTAAACGAATAGATCTCTCCCCTCAAGTAATTTAAAAAAAATTATGTAAAGATAGTTTCTGATTTAGATTAAGAAACATGGCTCTTGGCCCTATTTAAAAGGGCAAATCTTTTGAATCAAAGTGATTTTAATTTTTTATAAGAGATTAATATTTTCAGTGTATAATTATAATTAGTATTATAAATAATTTTATATAATTAAATACAATTCCATATAATTGTTATACATTGTTTATATAATTTTATAGGTCCTTACAAGAGAAATTTATGTAATTAAATATATATAATTTTTATATAAATATATAGGGTCGTACAAGAGTCTTATATATATTTATATACAATTATATATAATTACATAACTATATAATTTTGTATAAATTATATATAATTGTATACAAATATATAAAGTCTTTTTTCATCGGGATGTCAGATTTTATTTTTTTATTTTTGAAAATCGTTTAATTATCTACTTATTGGAGTAGATAAAGTATTTCACTCGAGATTATGCGTATTATTCAATAGCCTGCATTATCTCTCGTTTAATATTATACTATTTCTTTATTGTTTGTTATTTTTGTTGACAAATATATCCTATTTTTATACATTAAAAATAACATTAAAAAAATTCAAGCTTTTTTTGTTGCAGTGAATCGACATGCGAATACAGCGAATGCTTTTTTACCGGACCAGAATACGAAGTAACCCAGCATATGAGCAAAGACCATGGGCATACATCAGTGAAGAACGAAGTTATTAAAGATAAAAAAGAAAAACCAAATAAAGAACATAAAACAAAAATAACAAGATTTCCTTGCATGTACTGTGACTATGCAACAACTTACAAACAATCTTTACGACGGCATATTTATCTCAAGCACAAAGAACAATATGAGTTGGAAAATAAAGTAGCACTAAACATAAAAACTCACTTCTGTGTAAACTGTGACTATAAAACAGTAGACAAACGATGGCTTCAAAAACACATTTATATCAAACATAAAGAACAAAACGAGTTGGAAAATAAAGTAGCACTTAACATAAAAACTCACACCTGTGTATACTGTGACTTTACAACGATAAACAAACAATGGCTTCAAAAACACGTTTACATCAAACATAAAGAACAAAATAATTTAGAAAATAAAGTAGAATTAAACATTAAAACGTTTTCTTGCGATTTCTGTGACTTTACAACAGTGGAAAATCAAACTCTGCAAATGCACATCATCAGCAAACATAAGGAACAATATGAGCTTAAAAAGAAAGTATCGATAAATTTATTAAAAACGCGTTCTTGTGTGTACTGTGACTATACAACAGTACAAAACCGAACGTTACAATTACACGTTCTAAGAAAACATAAAAAACAAAATGACTTAACAAATAAAGTAGAACTAAACATAAAAAATTACTCCTGTGTATACTGTGACTTTACAACGATAAGCAAAAACTGCTTTCAAATACACACCTACCTCAAACATAAAAAACAAAATGATTTAGAAAATAAAGTAGCGCTAAATTTAAAAACTTACTCTTGTGTGTACTGTAACTTCTCAACAGTAAAAAATGGAAAACTGCAAAATCACCTGTACCGAAAACATAAAGCACAAATTCAAGTAGCAATAAAAACTTACTCTTGTGTGTATTGCGAATACTCCACACCTTTAAACCAAACATTACAAAAGCACATCTATAGGAAACATAAAGAACAAAATGAATTGGAAAAGAAAGTACAAATAAACATAACCACTTACTCTTGTGAGTTATGTAACTTCTCAACAGTAGAAAATAATATTCTGCAAAATCACATATACCGAAAACATAAACCACAAATTCAAGTAGCAATAAAAACTTACTCTTGTGTGTATTGCGAATACTCCACACCTTTAAACCAAACATTAAAAACGCACATATATAGGAAACATAAAGAACAAAATGAATTGGAAAAGAAAGTGGAAATAAACGTAAAAATTTACTCTTGTGGTTTTTGTGACTTTGAAACATTCGGAAATCAAAAGCTGCAAAAGCACATTTATACCAAACACAAGGAACAAAATAAGTTAGAAAATAAAGTACAATTAAAAATAAAAAAAATTTCTTGCGATTTCTGTGACTTTACAACATTGGAAGATCACTTGCTTCAAAAACACATTTACATCAAACATAAAGAACAAAATGATTTAGAAAATAAAGTAGCACTAAACATAAAAACTTACCCCTGAGTATACTGTGACTTTACAACTTTAAACAAACGATGGCTTCAAAAACACATTTACATCAAACATGAAGAACAAAATAAGTTGGAAAATAAAGTAAAATTAAACATAAAAAAAATTTCTTGCGATTTCTGTGACTTTACAACAGTGGTAAATCAAATGCTTCAAAAGCACATCTACATCAAACATAAAGAACAAAAGTTGGAAAATAAAGTAGCACTAAACATTAAAACTTACTCCTGTGTATACTGCGACTTTACAACATTTGGTAAACAAAAGCAACAAAACCACATTTACAATAAACATAAAGAACAAAATAAGTTGGAAAATAAAGTAAAATTAAACATTAAAACAAAATCTTGTGTATACTGTGACTTTACAACAGTTTACAAAGATTCGTTGCAAAGACACATTCTTGGGAAACATAAAAAAGAAAATGAATTGAAAAATAAAGTGGAAATAAACATAAAAACTTACTCTTGTGTTTTTTGTGATTTTGAAACATTTGAAAATCAAAAGCTGCAAAAGCACATCTATAGCAAACATAAGGAACAATATAATAAAAAATAAAGTAGCCATGCATTTTTTACTTAAAACTTAAACAAAACAGAGAAAAATGCAGAAGACTAAATATCTAGTTAGGATGCCCCAGCGCCGCCTATGGATTAACTAAATCAAATTTAATTACTTTTAATTAGGCCCTTTCGTTCATTACTAAAAACCTGGTTTTAGTTTTATTAAATCCGGACAATGAGTTTTTAAAATTTTTGAAAAAATAAATATTTTTAATAAAATTACCATTTTGGGAATTATATCGACTATAAAATTTTTCCGATAAAAAGACAATATAATTGTTGCGTCTGTTAGTACTCGTGTAACTTCTGAACGACTTGACCGATTGAGGCCATATTCCCACAATAAATTTGTTTTATCGAGGCTATGGTTTATAGCTATGCAGGATTTGATAGGTGGCGCTATAGTTAAGTTATTAATAAATTTTATATTCATTATTTCATCCCTGTGCATTCGCAATTTTTGCAACAAAGGGCCTAACAGCTAGTTTATTTTATACGAGTATGTTCTGTTTGTACACAAATTCAGATTTTTTTAAATGGTCTTTTTTTGAATGACTATAATTTGCGTTTTTAGGAAGAAATAATGTTTTATTCTGTATTATTTGTTTTTTTTTTAAGAAAAGGAGTTTTAACATTTTGTTTCATAATTTTATTACGTGGTTTTTTAAATTTTTAAATGTATGGTAATTTTTTCCTTAGTACGATATACTAAAATGTTTTTTTTAAGACGAACATGTAATTATTGAAAAATTGTTAAATCGTTATAAATACATATTTTTTCTTAACGTGTTGTGGTTTTTATTGTAAAACATTAAAAAAATGGTCCACAGCCATTTTGCTGCAGACTACCCAAATTACCCTAGAAAAGTTCATGTATACCCTGCCGAAAATAGATTTTTTGTCGGCCTGGGTTTGGTAAGGTCGCCCATATTAAACAGGCTTTAAAATTGAACCATACCTTTTTCCTTGGATTAATTTACCCCTTGAACAAAGACAGGGAATATGCTTATTAAAATAAATTCAAGTGATTATAAGTAATAGTTTGTGATTCTACCTTTGTGTATCTGACTACCATCCCCAAACTAAGGATGGAAAAATATTAATCCTTTAAAATAAAGAAGGGCTTAGCGTATTTCCTGTTGTATATTTAAATTACTATGATGGTCTAATAATTCTTAAGTTATGTTGCCCAAATTTAACAATGAGGTAAACTATTTTGTTTTCGCAATATACCTAATGATTATTTCTATTGGGTGCTATTGAAGGAACTTGTTTCCGAAATTAAACCTTCTGTTCAGATAAGCCAATAACAAAAACAATGTTTCTGAAAAATCCTCAAAATAAAACTACACACTGTGTCTCAATAATTTTTTGTGGTATATTTTTATCTATGTAAATAGGTCTCCGAATGATGGTTTGTTTGGGTTAGTTATCATGCATATAACTGAAAATTTCTAGTAATCATACCAATTTATATATTAATAGGCATAGACTGTAGTAATTTTTGATGACTGATTTTTTTTTGTAGGCCCCTGGATGATGGCGATTTAATTTTGTTTGAAGTTATTTTTGCTTTAAGAATATTTTGCTTTGAGAAATTTGTGCTGTTAAAATTTTTTGAGAACATGAGACTTGGAGCCTGGACCCTTTAAAACCTAAATTTTCAGATACACAAAAAGAACAAAATTACTTAAAAAATAAAGTAGGTAGCTCAAACCTAAAAACTTATTGACAGTGAAAAATTAACTCTTAATGTGAAAAGACGCTAATTTTATTAGTAACCAACAATATATTATGACATGCTAAAAATATATATGGTAATAAATGGTAACTTTTGAGGAAATATAAATAACTTGATAAAATATATTTACGCATATTATAAGGTTAAATCTCAATTTATAATTTTATTTCATTAAGTAATATTTTATAATTTTTGATTTACATTTATATATTTTTAAAATATTGTTTTATATTCACATATTTTTTTATTTATAATTATGGCCTCAATAGACAACAAAATGAGTTAAAAATAAAGTAGAAAAATACATGAAAACTTACTCTTGTGAGTAATATTACTTCCCCTCCCCACAAAAAGCTGCAAAATCAGGTGTGCTTATTAATAAAGTTTTTTTTATAAAGTTTAGTATTATTTTTAAAAATGTAGATAATGTTAGTTCGTATTTAAAAAAATACAAAAATTAAAACTTCTTTTTAGTTACATGCAAAAGACCGACTACTTTTTAATAAAATGTTTTCGTTTTATTGTAAAGCGTTAGTTAATGAAAATTATTTATAATTATGATACAGAAAACTATGTTATAGAAAAAATGTTTTATATTAATTTTTATTGTAAAATATAGTTTTTTTTGTATACAATGTATACTATACATAGTTTAGTATTATTTTTATTGACAAATGTGGATAGTTTTAGTTAAAAATACAAACAAAATAAATACAATTTTTTTAAAACTTTTTTTGTTTCAGTGAATCGACAAGCGGATACAGCGACTGCTTTTTTACCGGACCAGAATACGAAGTAACCCAGCATATGAGCAAAGACCATGGGCATACATCAGTGGAAAACGAAGTTATTAAAGATGAAGGACAAACGCCAACTAAAGAAGATAAAACAAAAAAAACAACATTTTCTTGTATGTACTGTGACTATGCAACAACTTACAAACAATCTTTACGACGGCATATGTATCTCAAGCACAAAGAGCAATATGAGTTGGAAAATAAAGAAGCACTAAACATTAAAATTTACTCCTGTGTATACTGCGACTTTACAACAATAGAAAACCATAGGCTTCAAAACCACATTTACAGTAAACATAAAGAACAAAATAAGTTAGAAAATAAAGTAGCTTTAAACATAAAAACTTACTCCTGTGTATACTGTGACTTTACTGCATTAAACAAACAATGTCTTCAAAAACACATTTACATCAAACATAAAGAGCAAAATAAATTGGAAAACAAAGTAAAATTAAACATAAAAAAGTTTTCTTGCAATTTCTGTGACTATACAACATTGGAAAATCAAAAGCTGCAAAAGCACATTATCAGCAAACATAAGAAACAAAACGAGTTGGAAAATAAAGTAGCACTAAACATAAAAATGTACTCCTGTGTGTACTGTGACTTTACAACAGTACTAAACCGTACGCTTCAAATACACGTTATGAGAAAACATAAGAAACAAAATGACTTAAAAAATAAAGTAGCACTAAACATAAAAAGTAATTCCTGTGTATACTGTGACTTTACAACGATAAACAAACACTGCCTTCAAAAACACATCTACTCAAAACATAAAAAACAAAATGAGTTAGAAAATAAAGTAGCACTAAACATAAAAACTTACTCTTGTGTGTACTGTAACTTCTCAACAGTACAAAATGAAAAACTGCAAAATCACATATACCGAAAACATAAAGCACAAATTCATTTAGTAATAAAAACTTACTCTTGTGTGTACTGTGAATTCTCCACAACTTTGAACCAAATATTAAAAAAGCACATTTATAGGAAACATAAAGAACAAAATGAATTGGAAAAGAAGGTGAAAATAAACGTAAAAACTTACTCTTGTGTTTTCTGTGACTTTACAGCAGAGGAAAATCAAAAGCTGCAAATTCACATTTATAAAACACATAAGGAACAAAATGATTTAGAAAATAAAGTAGCGCTAAATTTAAAAACTTACTCTTGTGTTTACTGTAAATATTCCACAATTAAGAACCAAACATTACAAAATCACCTGTATACCAAACATAAAGAACAAAATGAATTGGAAAAGAAAGTGGAAATAAACATAAAAACTTACTCTTGTTTTTTGTGTGACTTTGTAACAATTGATAATTCAAGGCTGCAAAAGCACCTCTATAGCAAACATAAGGGACAACATATTAAAAAATAAAGTAGCGATTCATTTCTTACGTTTTATAATAAATTGCAAATAACGTAAAAAATAAACGTTAACTAAAATTATCTGCGTCCACTGGTGGATATTTACACTGCAGCGTATTTTTTGTGCTTTATAGACGATTTTTTATATTAGGTACAAACTAAATTAATTTTTTATAGAGACTAATTTAGCCATAAAAATAAAAAATAATAAAATTTATTTTTCATTTGAGCCTAATGATAAGAAATATATTGGGAAATTTCCAAATTGGTGTTAAATTATGGTTACGCCACTGCTTTTTTATGGGTTTAATATTATATTTCAGTAAGCAATTCAAAATCAAGACAAAAAATAAATTGGTTTATCCGCTCGTAATCATAATTTTTCCAGTGAGCGAATAAAAGAATTTTATTTTTACTTAAAACTTAAACAAAGAGAAAAAATATAGAAGACTAAATAGTTTTATTTTTAATTGCTTAATGTAAAAATATTATTAAACCTATCTAAAAGCGTACCTGAATTATATTTTTAAATATCTAGTTTGGATGCCCCAGCGCCGCCTATGGATGAACCTAATCAAATTTAATTACATTTAATTAGGCCCTTTCGTTCATTGCAAAAAACCTGAAAGTTTTATTAAATTCGGCCAAGGAGTTTTTAAAAATTTTGAAAAATTAAACATTTTTTAATAAATTTACCACCCTGTGAAAACTTTTTTCTAATTTTTGCCAATTCTATCGACTATAAAATTTTCCCGATAAAATTTCAAGACACCCTGTATATAATAATTTTTGCGCCCATTCCCACAATTTTTTTGTTTTGTCGAGGTGATAGTTCATATAGCTCTGCAGGATTTGATAGGTGGCGCTGTAGTCAAGTTATTAATAAATAGCTAATTTATTTTATATTTTCTGTTTGTACACAAATTCAGATTTTTTTAATGCTGATCTTTTTTCTAATAATGATTTTAAAATTTTGTTTTATGATTTTATTACGTGGTTTTTTAATCGCTATTCTATTTTAAATGTATGGTAATTTTTTCCTATGTAGGTACTTTATACTAAAATGTTTTTTTAAGACGAACATGTAATTAGTGAAAATTGTTAAATCTCTTTAAATACAAATTTTTTCTTAACGTGTTGGGTTTTTATTGTAAAACAATAAAAAAAAACTGGTCCACAGCTGCAGACTACCAAAATTACCCTAGAAAAGTTATTGTATTTTCTGCCGGAAATACAATTTTTTTTGCAATATAATGATTATTAGCACAAGTAGTGCCAATATTCTATTAGGTGTAATTGAAGAAACTTGTTTCCGAAATTAAATCATTGCAGTGAATAAGTACTAAATTTGTTTTTTAATATACACTCACAGGCAAAATAATCGATCCACACAAATTTTCGATTAATTTCAATAGCAAATAAAAGATGTTTTTTACCATAAGTTTAAGACACTCTGTAGAGTGGCTAAACCGTATATTGTTCTAAATTAAGTTTTAATTATCAAGTCACATCAATTTTTAACAGTTTTGTTTTTGGTTTACCTTGATATATTTATTTTTGTGGAAAATATGGATTTAAAAAAAAAACATTGCAATTTCCAATAGTTTTCCTGTATGAAGAACTAAGGTTGCTATGGTCCATCCTATGGATGGGCAATAGCAACTTAGTTCTTCATATAGAAAAATATTGGAAATTGCAATGTTTTTTTTAAAAATCCATATTTTCCACAAAAATAAATATATCGAGGTGAACCAAAAACAAAACTGTTAAGAATAGATGTGATTTGATAAATAAAACTTAATTAAGATTTTAAGATTAAGATTAAGATTTTCGTAATATTATTAATATTTATAAAAAAATATTGTTCAGAATATTGTATGTTTTTTTAAATATATTTAATAAAATCTTCTGTTCAGATAAGCCAATAACAGAAACAATGTTTTTAAAAAATCCTCAAAATAAAACTACACACTGGTCTCAGTAATTTTTTATGGTACATTTTTATCTATGTAAATAGGTCCCCGAATGATGGTTTGGTTGGGTTAGTTAGCCTTGGTTATCCTGCATATAACTGGAAATGTCTAGTAATTATACCTATTTATATATTAATAGGCATAGACTGTAGTAAATTTTGATGACTGAGTTTTTTTGTAGGTCCCTGGATGATGGCGATTTAATTTTGTTTGAAGTTATTTTTGCTTTAAGGACATTTTGCTTCGAGAAATTTGTGCTGAGAAACTTTTTTTGAGAACATGAGACTTGGAGCCTGGACCCTTTAAAACCTAAATTTTCAGATACACAAAAAGAACAAAATTACTTAAAACATAAAGTAGTTGGCTCAAACCTAAAAACTTATTGACAGTGAAAAATTAACTCGTAATGTGAAAAGGCGCTAATTTTATTAGCAACCAACAATATATTATGACATGCTAAAAATATATATGGTTATAAATGGTAACTGTTGAGGAAATATAAATAACTTCGCGTTTATATTGATAAAATATATTTACGCATATTATAAGGTTAAATCTCAATTTATAATTTTATTTCATTAAGTAATATTTTATAATTTTTAATTTACATTTATATATTTTTAAAATATTGTTTCATATTCACATAATAGACAACAAAATGAGTTAAAAATAAAGTAGAAAAATACATTAAAACTTACTCTTGTGAGTAATGTTACTTCCCCTTCACCCCAAAAAGCTGCAAAATCAAATGTACAGAAAATCATTAGCTCAATAATAAAGTTTTTTTATAAAGTTTAGTATTATTTTTTAAAAATGTAGATAATGTTAGTTTGTATTTAAAAAAAATACAAAAATTAAAACTTCTTTTTAGTTACATGCACATACAGCGACTGCTTTTTAATAAAATGTTTTCGTTTTATTGGAAAGCGTTAGTTAATGAAAATAATTTTAAAGTGCTACAGAAAACCGTCTTATAGAAAAAATGTTTTACTTTAATTTTTATTGTAAAATATAGTTAATGTTTATTAGCCAAAAAGTTATTAATCTAGACTAAAGTTTTTTCTCTGTATACATAGTTTAGTATTATTTTTATTGACAAATGTGGATAGTTTTAGTTAAGTTCATATAAAAATACAAACAATACTAACTTTTTTTGTTTCAGTGAACCGACGTGCGGATACAGCGACTGCTTTTTTATGGGACCACAATACGAAGTAACCCAGCATATGATCAAAGACCATGGGCACACATCAGTGAATATCAAAGATGAAAAACAAATACCAACTAAAAAGGATGAAACAAAAATAAAAAGTTTTTCTTGTATGTACTGTGACTATGCAACAATTTACAAACATTCGTTACAAACGCATATTTATAATAAGCACAAAGAACAATATGATAACATTAAAACATTACACTTCTGTGTATACTGTGACTTTAAAACAGTGTACAAACAATGCCTTCAAAAACACATTTATTCTAAACATAAAGAACAAAATGATTTAGAAAATAAAGTAGCACTAAACATAAAAACTTACCCCTGTGTGTACTGTGACTTTACAACTTTAAACAAACGATGGCTTAAAAAACACATTTACATAAAACATAAAGAACAAAATGATTTAGAAAATAAAGTAGCACTAAACATAAAAACATACTCCTGTGTATACTGTGACTTTACAACTTTAAACAAACGATGGCTTCAAAAACACATTTACATCAAACATAAAGAACAAAATGAGTTGGAAAATAAAGTAGCACTAAACATTAAAACTTACTCCTGTGTATACTGCGACTATTTAACGATAGACAAAGATCAGCTTCAAAAACACATTTACATCAAACATGAAGAACAAAACAAGTTGGAAAATAAAGTAATATTAAACATAAAAAAATTTTCTTGCGATTTCTGTGACTTTACAACAGTTGAAAATAAAATTCTTCAAAAACACGTATACAGCAAACATAAAGAACAAAATAAGTTGGAAAATAAAGTAGTACTAAGCATTAAAACCTACTCCTGTGTATACTGCGACTTTACAACAGTAGATAACCAAAAGCTTCAAAACCACATTTACAGTAAACATAAAGAACAAAATAAGTTGGAAAATAAAGTAAAATTAAACATTAAAACAAAATCTTGTGTATACTGTGACTTTACATCAGTTTACAAAGCTTCGTTGCTAAAACACATTCTTAGGAAACATAAAGAACAAAATGAATTGGAAAAGAAAGTGGAAATAAACATAAAAACTTACTCTTGTGTTTTTTGTGATTTTGAAACATTTGAAAATCAAAATCTGCAAAAGCACATCTATAGCAAACATAAGGAACAACATAATAAAAAATAAAGTAGCCATGCATTTTTTACTTTTAATAATAAATTCTTAAATCTGAAAACTAAAATTAACGTCGTAAAAAATTAACGTAAAGTAAAATAATCTTTGTCTGGTGGATATTTATATTACATAAATGTAAATGAATAATAAATTTTATTGTTTTTTTTTAATAAAAATAGTTTTACAATTTTGTTGTATGATTTTATTTCGTGTTTTTTTAAGCCTCATTATATTTTTAAATGTATGGTAATTTTTTACCAAGTACGTTATACTAAAATAATCTTTTTAAGACGAACATGTAATTATTGAAAAATTGTTAAATTTGCTATAAATACATATTTTTTCTTAACGGGTTGGCTTTTTATAGTAGAACATTAAAAAAAACTGGTCCACAGCCATTTTGCTGCATACTACCCAAATTACCCTAGAAAAGTTGTTGTATGGGTGGTTTTCAGTATCTTTTAAGATTCTGATTTAATTTTGAAAAAAAATTGTTCGGATTTGTAGCAAGACAAATTTTCTTTCTTAGAAAGTTGCTAGGCTTTTTAATTAAGAGATACAGTTTTCTTGTTAAAATCCCATTTTTTTTGCGCTAAAAAACGTTTTCTTCATTCAAAATATTCAAATAAATATTTTTGGTTCTTGTACCAAGAAATCGCTTGCTCGTGATTGTAATTGTAATATCCTTAATAGATTAATCTCTCCCCTCAAGTAATTAAAAAAAATTTATGTAAATATAGTTTCTGATTTAGATTAAGAAACATGGCTCTTGGCCCTATTCAAAAGGGCAAATCTTTTGAATCAAAGTGATTTTCATTTTTTTTAAGAGATTAATATTTTCAGTGTTTAATTATAATTAGTATTATAAATAATTTTATATAATTACATACAATTCCATATAATTGTATACATTGTTTATATAATTATATAGGTCCTTACAAGAGACTTATATATAATTCTATAAAAAATTATGTAATTAAAGTGTGGGCCATTTATTGGTTTGTTTTTAAAACATTGCCCATGGCAACACTCGATGCACCGATTAGTTTTAAATTTTGACAGCTTGTCATTCTGACATTCCGCGGCACGAAACAATCATGTTTTCGCTTGAGGAACGTTTCGAAATATTGAAAATTTATTTTCAAAGTCAGTGTTGTGTGGCCGAAACTGCTGTAGTAAAATTGGGGAAGAAAGTTCGTGAGACAGGCTTGCTATTAGATAACAGAAAAGGTCCCTGAGCTCGGACAGTGCGTACGCCTGAGAATATTGAGACTGTGTCCCGTAGTGTGCTACAAAATCCATCTTTCTCAACTGGCCATTAGTCTGAGGAGAATACTGCACAAAGACCTAGGATTATTCGCCTACAAGGTCCAGATCACTCAGGAGTTGAAAGCAAATGACCATCTGCTTCGATATCACTTCGCTGTGTGGGCCACAGACCAGTTAAACAATGACGTCAATATGACGTCAATTATGGTCGTAAAATCATTTTTTTAGACGAAGCTCATTTCCATAGCGGGGGCTATGTAAACAAGCAGAACTGCCGGATTGGGGTACGGAATAGCCACACGTAATCGTAGAGAGTCCAATGCATCCACCAAGAGTGACAGTTTGGTGTGGATTTTGAAGTGGACATAATTGGCCCATTTTTCTTCGAAAATACTGCTGGAAAATCCGTTACCGTCAATAACGACTGTTACAGAGCCATGTTGACCAACTTTTTATGGCCTCAAATCGACGCCATGAATGTAGTTTCAACAAGATGGGGCCACATGCCATACAAGCCGACTGACAATCGATCTCTTGCGCACCAAATTTAACAACCGAATAATCAGCCGTTTTGGAGATGTCAATTGGCATGCACGGAGTTGTGATTTGATGCCGTTAGATTATTTTATGTGGGGTTTCGTTAAGGACACATGTTATGCGGACAATCCAGAGACAATTCCAGCTTTAAAACATAACATTGGAACTGTTATTGGCGATATAGGCGTGAAATCCCGGAAAAAGTGCTTTAAAATTGGATACGCAGGATGGCTTAATGTAAGACCAGCAGAGGAAGTCACATGAACGAAACTGTTTTTCATTCTTAAATCGGAGACTCCAACGTTTACAATAAAAAAAAATGTTCTTAAAATATTGATTTAGACTCATTTTATAGCGTTTTTAAAAACAAACCAATAAATGGCCCACCCTTTATATATAATTTTTATATAAATATATAGAATTATATAGGGTCGTACAAGAGTCTTATATATATTTATATACAATTATATATAATTACATAAGTTTCTATACAATTATATATAATTTATACAAAATTAAATAGTTATAACTATATAATTTTGTATAAATTATATATAATTGTATACAAATATATAAAGTCTTTTTTCATCGGGATGTCAGATTTTATTTTTTTAATTTGGAAATCGTTTAATTATCTACTAATTGGAGTAGATAAAGTATAGTATTATGCGTATTATTCAATAGCCTGCATTATATCTCGTTTAATATTATACTATTTCTGTATTGTTTGTTATTTTTGTTGACAAATATATCCTATTTTTATACATTAAAAATAACATTAAAAAAATTCAAGCTTTTTTTGTTGCAGTGAATCGATATGCGAATACAGCGACTGCTTTTTTACCGGACCAGAATACGAAGTAACCCAGCATATGAGCAAAGACCATGGGCATACATCAGTGAAGAACGAAGTTATTAAAGATAAAAAAGAAAAACCAAATAAAGAAGATAAAACAAAAATAACAAGATTTCCTTGCATGTACTGTGACTATGCAACAACTTACAAACAATCTTTTCGACGGCATATTTATCTCAAGCACAAAGAACAATATGAGTTGGAAAATAAAGTAGCACTAAACATAAAAACTCACTTCTGTGTATACTGTGACTATAAAACAGTAGACAAACGATGGCTTCAAAAACACATTTATATCAAACATAAAGAACAAAACGAGTTGGAAAATAAAGTTGCACTAAACATAAAAACTCACACCTGTGTATACTGTGACTTTACAACGATAAACAAACCATGGCTTCAAAAACACGTTTACATCAAACATAAAGAACAAAATAATTTAGAAAATAAAGTAGAATTAAACATTAAAACGTTTTCTTGCGATTTCTGTGACTTTACAACAGTGGAAAATCAAACTCTGCAAATGCACATCATCAGCAAACATAAGGAACAATATGAGCTTAAAAAGAAAGTATCGATAAATTTATTAAAAACGCGTTCTTGTGTGTACTGTGACTATACAACAGTACAAAACCGAACGTTACAATTACACGTTCTAAGAAAACATAAAAAACAAAATGACTTAACAAATAAAGTAGAACTAAACATAAAAAATTACTCCTGTGTATACTGTGACTTTACAACGATAAGCAAAAACTGCTTTCAAATACACACCTACCTCAAACATAAAAAACAAAATGATTTAGAAAATAAAGTAGCGCTAAATTTAAAAACTTACTCTTGTGTGTACTGTAACTTCTCAACAGTAAAAAATGGAAAACTGCAAAATCACATGTACCGAAAACATAAAGCACAAATTCAAGTAGCAATAAAAACTTACTCTTGTGTGTATTGCGAATACTCCACACCTTTAAACCAAACATTACAAAAGCACATCTATAGGAAACATAAAGAACAAAATGAATTGGAAAAGAAAGTACAAATAAACATAACCACTTACTCTTGTGAGTTATGTAACTTCTCAACAGTAGAAAATAATATTCTGCAAAATCACATATACCGAAAACATAAACCACAAATTCAAGTAGCAATAAAAACTTACTCTTGTGTGTATTGCGAATACTCCACACCTTTAAACCAAACATTAAAAAGGCACATATATAGGAAACATAAAGAACAAAATGAATTGGAAAAGAAAGTGGAAATAAACGTAAAAATTTACTCTTGTGGTTTTTGTGACTTTGAAACATTCGGAAATCAAAAGCTGCAAAAGCACATTTATACCAAACACAAGGAACAAAATAAGTTAGAAAATAAAGTACAATTAAAAATAAAAAAAATTTCTTGCGATTTCTGTGACTTTACAACATTGGAAGATCACTTGCTTCAAAAACACATTTACATCAAACATAAAGAACAAAATGATTTAGAAAATAAAGTAGCACTAAACATAAAAACTTACCCCTGTGTATACTGTGACTTTACAACTTTAAACAAACGATGGCTTCAAAAACACATTTACATCAAACATAAAGAACAAAATAAGTTGGAAAATAAAGTAAAATTAAACATAAAAAAAATTTCTTGCGATTTCTGTGACTTTACAACAGTGGTAAATCAAATGCTTCAAAAGCACATCTACAGCAAACATAAAGAACAAAAGTTGGAAAATAAAGTAGCACTAAACATTAAAACTTACTCCTGTGTATACTGCGACTTTACAACATTAGGTAAACAAAAGCAACAAAACCACATTTACAATAAACATAAAGAACAAAATAAGTTGGAAAATAAGGTAAAATTAAACATTAAAACAAAATCTTGTGTATACTGTGACTTTACAACAGTTTACAAAGATTCGTTGCAAAGACACATTCTTAGGAAACATAAAGAAGAAAATGAATTGAAAACTTACTCTTGTGTTTTTTGTGATTTTGAAACATTTGAAAATCAAAAGCACATCTATAGCAAACATAAGGAACAATATAATAAAAAATAAAGTAGCCATGCATTTTTTACTTAAAACTTAAACAAAACAAAGAAAATATGCAGAAGACTAAATATCTAGTTAGGATGCCCCAGCGCCGCCTATGGATTAACTAAATCAAATTTAATTACTTTTAATTAGGCTCTTTCGTTCATTACTAAAAACCTGGTTTTAGTTTTATTAAATCCGGACAATGATTTTTTAAAATTTTTAAAAAAATAAATATTTTTAATAAAATTACCATTTTGCGAATTCTATCGACTATAAGATTTTTCCGATAAAAATCCAAGACAATATAATTGTTGCGTCTGTTAGTACTCGTGTAACTTCTGAACGACTTGACCGATTGAGGCAACATTCCCACAATAAATTTGTTTTGTCGAGGCTATGGTTCATAGCTATGCAGGATTTGATAGGTGGCGCTGTAGTCAAGTTATTTATAAATTTTATATTAATTATTTCATCCCGGTGCATTCGCCATTTTTGCAACAAAGGGCGTAACAGCTAGTTTATTTTAAACGAGTATGTTCTGTTTGTACACAAATTCAGATTTTTTTAAATGCTCTTTTTTCGAAAGATACTATAATTTGCGTTTTTAGGAAGAAATAATGTTTTATTCTTTTTTATTTGTTTTTTTTTAAGAAAAGGAGTTTTAACATTATGTTTGATAATTTTATTACGTGGTTTTTTAAATTTTTAAATGTATGGTAATTTTTTCCCAAGTACGATATACTAAAATGTTATTTTTTTAAGACGAACATGTAATTATTGAAAAATTGTTAAATCGTTATAAATACATATTTTTTTCTTAACGAGTTGTGGTTTTTATTGTGAAACATTAAAAAAATGGTCCACAGCCATTTTGCTGCAGACTACCCAAATAACCCTAGAAAAGTTATTGTATACCCTGCCGGAAAGAGATTTTTTTGTCGGCCAGGGTAAAGTCGCCCATATTAAACACGCTTCAAAATTGAACCATACCTTTTTTCCTTGGATTAATTCACCCCTTGAACAAAGACAAATTCAAGTGATTATAAGTAATAGTTTGTGATTCTACCTTTGTGTATGTGACTACCATCCCCAAACAAAGGATAGAAAAATATTAATCCTTAAAAATAAAGAAGGGCTTAGCGTATTTCCTGTTGTATATTAAAATTACTGTGATGGTCTAATAATTCTTAAGTTATGTTGCCCAAATTTAACAATGAGGTAAACTATTTTGTTTTCGCAATATACCAAATGATTATTTCTATTGGGTGAATTAAACTTGTTTCCGAAATTAAACCTTCTGTTCAGATAAGCCAATAACAAAAACAATGTTTCTGAAAAATCCTCAAAATAAAACTACACACTGTCTCAATATTTTTTTGTGGTATATTTTTATCTATGTAAATAGGTCTCCGAATGATGGTTTGTTTGGGTTAGTTATCATGCATATAACTGAAAATTTCTAGTAATCATACCTATTTATATATTAATAGGCATAGTCTATGCCGCATAGACTGTAGTAATTTTTGATGACTGAATTTTTTTTGTAGGTCCCTGGATGATGGCGATTTAATTTTGTTTGAAGTTATTTTTGCTTTAAGAATATTTTGCTTTGAGAAATTTGTGCTGATAAATTTTTTTGAGAACATGAGACTTGGAGCCTGGACCCTTTAAAACCTAAATTTTCAGATACACAAAAAGAACAAAATTACTTATAAAATAAAGTAGGTAGCTCAAACCTAAAAACTTATTGACAGTGAAAAATTAACTCTTAATGTGAAAAGACGCTAATTTTATTAGTAACCAACAATATATTATGACATGCTAAAAATATATATGGTAATAAATGGTAACTGTTGAGGAAATATAAATAACTTGATAAAATATATTTACGCATATTATAAAGTTAAATCTCAATTTATAATTTTATTTCATTAAGTAATATTTTATAATTTTTGATTTACATTTATATATTTTTTTATTTATAATTATGGCTTAAACGGCGCCTCAATAGACAACAAAATGAGTTAAAAATAAAGTAGAAAAATACATGAAAACTTACTCTTGTGAGTAATATTACTTCCCCTCCCCACAAAAAGCTGCAAAATCAGGTGTGCTTATTAATAAAGTTTTTTTTTATAAAGTTTAGTATTATTTTTAAAAATGTTGATAATGTTAGTTCGTATTTAAAAAAAATACAAAAATTAAAACTTCTTTTTAGTTACATGCACATACAGCGACTGCTTTTTAATAAAATGTTTTCGTTTTATTGCAAAGCGTTAGTTAATGAAAATTATTTATAAAGTGATACAGAAAACTGTGTTATAGAAAAAATGTTTTATATTAATTTTTATTGTAAAATATAGTTAAAGTTTTTCTCTGTATACATAGTTTTGTATTATTTTTATTGACAAATGTGGATAGTTTTAGTTAAAAATACAAACAAAATAAATACAATTTTTTTAAAACTTTTTTGTTTCAGTGAATCGACAAGCGGATACAGCGACTGCTTTTTTACCGGACCAGAATACGAAGTAACCCAGCATATGAGCAAAGACCATGGGCATACATCAGTGGAAAACGAAGTTATTAAAGATGAAGAACAAAAACCAACTAAAGAAGATAAAACAAAAAAAACAACATTTTCTTGTATGTACTGTGACTATGCAACAACTTACAAACAATCTTTACGACGGCATATTTATCTCAAGCACAAAGAGCAATATGAGTTGGAAAATAAAGAAGCACTAAACATTAAAACTTACTCCTGTGTATACTGCGACTTTACTGCGTTAAACAAACAATATATTCAAAAACACATTTACAATAAACATAAAGAACAAAATAAATTGGAAAACAAAGTAAAATTAAACATAAAAACGTTTTCTTGCAATTTCTGTGACTATACAACATTGGAAAATCAAAAGCTGCAAAAGCACATTATCAGCAAACATAAGAAACAAAACGAGTTGGAAAATAAAGTAGCACTAAACATAAAAAGTAATTCCTGTGTATACTGTGACTTTACAACAATAAACAAACACTGCCTTCAAAAACACATCTACTCAAAACATAAAAAACAAAATGAGTTAGAAAATAAAGTAGCACTAAACATAAAAACTTACTCTTGTGTGTACTGTAACTTCTCAACAGTACAAAATGAAAAACTGCAAAATCACATATACCGAAAACATAAAGCACAAATTCATTTAGCAATAAAAACTTACTCTTGTGTGTACTGTGAATTCTCTACAACTTTGAACCAAATATTAAAAAAGCACATTTATAGGAAACATAAAGAACAAAATGAATTGGAAAAGAAGGTGAAAATAAACGTAAAAACTTACTCTTGTGTTTTCTGTGACTTTACAGCAGTGGAAAATCAAAAGCTGCAAATTCACATTTATAAAACACATAAGGAACAAAATGATTTAGAAAATAAAGTAGCGCTAAATTTAAAAACTTACTCTTGTGTTTACTGTAAATATTCCACAATTAAGAACCAAACATTACAAAATCACCTGTATACCAAACATAAAGAACAAAATGAATTGGAAAAGAAAGTGGAAATAAACATAAAAACTTACTCTTGTTATTTGTGTGACTTTGTAACAATTGATAATTCAAGGCTGCAAAAGCACATCTATAGCAAACATAAGGGACAACATTATAAAAAATAAAGTAGCAATACATTTCTTACGTTTAATATTAAATTGCAAATATCGTAAAGAATAAACGTTAAGTAAAATTATCTGCGTCCACTGGTGGATATTTAAACTGCAGCGTATTTTTTGTGCTTAATAGGCGATTTTTTTATATTAAGTACAAACTAAATTAATTTTGTATAGAGACTAATTTAGCCATTAAAATAAAAAATAATACAATTTAGTCATTTGAGCATAATGATAAGAAATATATTGGGAAATTTCCAAATTGGTGTTATATACATATACAGTGTATTATACACTCACAGGCAAAATAATCGATCCACACAAATTGTCGATGAATTTTAATCGCAAATAACTTTTTTATTTGATTTTGGATTTAAACAAATATTAAAGAATACTGTAGATACATTAATGGAGAATCGCTCACATTTTAAAAATTACTAACGTTTATAATATACATGTTTAAACAAAAAGATGTTTTTAACCATAAGTTTAAGACACTCTGTAGAGTGGCAAAACCGTATATTGTTCTAAATTAAGTTTTAATTATCAAGTCACATCTATTTTTAACAGTTTTGGTTTTGGTTCACCTTGATATATTTATTTTTGTGGAAAATATGGATTTTTTAAAAAAACATTGCAATTTCCAATATTTTTCCTGTATAAAGAACTAAGTTTGCTATGGTCCATCCATAGCCTATGAAGGATGACAGTGACAGTTTTGTTGAATCATCCCATACTTGGACATGTCATATACAGCTTTCAAAACTATCAAATTGTTTTTTGTAAATTAATGTGTTAATTTTGAGGTGTCTTCTTACTTTTAAAAATGTCTCCGACTGATGTTGCCCTTTGCAGGGCCGGATTAAGACAATTTGTCGCCCTAGGCCAATAATGGCGCCTATAATTACAGCCTATATAAGGTATTAATATAACACAACACATGTTAGCCGACAGGGGTGTACATAAGGGGACAAGTAGGGTTTTATAAAAAAAATTTAAAAAAATAAATAAAAAATAATTTATTTTTATATAGAAAAACAAAACAATGATGAACTAACTTAATTTTTACAATTTTAAAATAACCTAAAACAGAATTTTACCTATATAATTTCGTCGTTGATATATCTATACTGCAAAAGGTAACTTTGACGCCTTTCTGCACAAGGGAACCAACCCACAAAAATAAAAAAATCGATATTTTTATTTTTGTGGGTTATTTCCGAGGTTATTTCTCTTCTGCAGGCGTTCAAGTGAAACGATTTTTTTCATTATCAACGACGATTTACAATTTTTTTCCTGCATTTAAAATCGGAAAAGGACACAATAATATTTTCAAAATTTATTTTCTTGACTTCTTCTGCTTCTATAGATGGAAGAGCTAGATTCGCAGTCTTCTCGTCTACTAGGCAACTGCGAAAAAGATGTGCTTTTAAAATAAAAAAGGGAACCTATTACACGTTTGATAATTATAATTATTTATTTTAATTGATTAATTTTAATATTCAAACTACTTAAAAAAAATTGAGCCTTCTGCCTGGGCGCCTATTGGCTTCGCGGCGCCCTAGGCCATGGCCTAGGTTGGCCTATAGGTTAATCCAGCACTGGCCCTTTGTACTTCTTGTGACGCTTAAAACACTTGCCACGTAATACTGTGACCGTCCATCCTGGATTAAATTAATGGCTCTGGCAACATCAGTCGGAGACATATCCATTTTTTAAAGTAAGAAGACTCCTCAAAATTTAAACATTAATTTGCAAAAAACAATTTGATAGCGTTTGAAAGCCGTGTATGACATGTCCAAGTATGGGATGATTCAACAAAACTGTCACTCATTCTCCATAGCCTATGGATGGACCATAGCAACCTTAGTTCTTCATACAGAAAAATATTGGAAATTGCAATGGTTTTTTAAAAAATCCATATTTTCCACAAAAATAAATATATCGAGGTGAACCAAAAACAAAACTGTTAAGAATAGATGTGACTTGATAAATAAAACTTAATTTAGAACAATATACGGTTATACCTGTATATTAGGGTGATTCAAAAAAAGACTTTTTTTAAAAATGAACCCGCACTGGCCTAAATTATAAAGATTACATTAAAACTAAAATATTGATACCAAAAAATCCAAATTCGATGAATATTTAGAGGTCGCTCAAATCAATTTTCGTATTTTTGCACATTCGAGCCGCGAAATTTTTACTGCACAAAATAGTAAATAACTCCGTTAGTTTTTAATCGATATTATTAAAAATTTAAGGGTTACCTAGTTTTTTAATACCCTCTGAGACAATGTATTGAACTTTACAGAAAAATATTTTTTTTTCATGAAAAAAAATAATTTGTTAATAAAAACGTATCATCTTATAAAATAAGCAACAATTGGAATCGCACTATGATGGTACCGTAAAAAAACTAAGAAAATAACACTTAAATTATTTAGTATACAGAAAACCTGCCGAAAGAAATGTTTTATTTGATTTATATAAAATATAACCTAAAAATAATTAAGTAATTTAGATTTTTTCCATTTTCAAACGATTTTATAAATAATTTATATCCGTTTTATTAATTATGACGTATTTTTATAATATTTCTTTATTTTTGATACCATATTTAATTAATTACACTAGGTAGTTATTAAATTAGGTCCTTTTTACAACTAAAATAAAATAACGTTAACTACAAAATTATTCACTCCATTAAGCAGAAATTTAAATTTTATTAAAATTATTCACATACAACAATTCTCAAATTTTGATACCAAAATTATTTGATTCTGTCTAGAAGTTGCTAAATTGACATACCACAATAATAATTATTATTCTTAAATTTTGATAGTAGGACCTACTACCAGGTAGTTGATAAATTATATAAATATAAATATATATATATATATATACATTAGGGTGCTTCAAAAAAATTTTCGCTCTTACCCTCTCAAATGTTTTTATTTAATATAAAGAAAATCCTCACCAAATATGAGCGTTCCAGCTCAACTCTAAGAGGTCGATGTTTTTATTTTAGTTTCCCATTGAATTAACATGGGAAAAAATTAATTTATGTTTGGAATTTTATACCTCTCTATCAAAGTAACTTATGGCAATGATCATTGCAGTTTCTTATATAAAATTTAACGCTCTACAAAAAAGGTCTCTTATTATTTTTCGATAAATTGATTTCTTCTAGAGTTATTCGAGGTCAAAGTTTGATTAACAAATAAATATTCTGTTTTTTTTTAATTTTATGGTATAATTAGCAGACGGGAGGTGAAAGGGGGCAAAACAAGGCAGCGGGGGGGGGGCAAAATGGGGTGCCCCATGTTAATCAAACTTCCACCTCAAGTCTGCTAATTTTACCAAAAAATTAAAAAAAAAAAACAGAAAATTTGATGTTAATCAAACTTTGACCTCGAATAACTCTAGAAGAAATCAATTTATCGAAAAATAAAGAGACCCTTTTTGTAGAGCGTTAAATTTTATATAAGAAACTGCAATAATCATTGCCATAAGTTACTTTGATACAGAGGTATAAAATTCCAAATATAAAATTATTTTTTCCCATGTTAATTCAATGGGAAACTAAAATAAAAACATCGACCTCTTAGAGTTGAGCTGGAACGCTCATATTTGGTGAGGATTTTCTTTATATTAAATAAAAACATTTGAGAGGGTAAGAGCGAAAATTTTTTTGAAGCACCCTAATGTATATATATATATATATTTATATTTATATAATTTATCAACTACCTGGTAGTAGGTCCTACTATCAAAATTTAAGAATAATAATTATTATTGTGGTATGTCAATTTAGCAACTTCTAGACAGAATCAAATAATTTTGGTATCAAAATTTGAGAATTGTTGTATGTGAATAATTTTAATAAAATTTAAATTTTTGCTTAATGGAGTGAATAATTTTGTAGTTAACGTTATTTTATTTTAGTTGTAAAAAGGACCTAATTTAATAACTACCTAGTGTAATTAATTAAATATGGTATCAAAAATAAAGAAATATTATAAAAATACGTCATAATTAATAAAACGGATATAAATTATTTATAAAATCGTTTGAAAATGGAAAAAATCTAAATTACTTAATTATTTTTAGGTTATATTTTATATAAATCAAATAAAATATTTCTTTCGGCAGGTTTTCTGTATACTAAATAATTTAAGTGTTATTTTCTTAGTTTTTTTCCTGTACCATCATAGTGCGATTCCAATTGTTGCTTATTTTATAAGATGATACGTTTTTATTAATAAATTATTTTTTTTCATGAAAAAAAAATATT